ACCTCTATAATTTATCAGGACAGATGCAGAGAAAGCAGCATTACTGTGTAAAGTCCTGTCTCTGAGAATCCTCTGGTCAACAGGGAGCAGAGTGGGGGAGCCTGTGCTGCAGTGGAAACTGCACCGTGCACACTCTGGGGGGCTCTGCTCATTCTTTCCCAGTAGTTTCTCTTGATTCCTCTGTCTTCTTCAATGTGTCAAATATAAGTGTCTGTGCCTCTCTTATTCCTGCTATGAAGAGGGAGCTATACTGGAAAAATCTATGCATTTTATTAATTGAGGAATCAGAAAAGAGATATTTTCAGCATTATATTTTGTACTGTAAATAGAAATGTAGGAAAGAGAGGTCTACAGCATGAAATGATGCAGAATAACTCCAAATGATGATAATGAAGAGTTCATTTTCCTTCATGGGCAGCATTTGGAGAATTTTTTTTGTGATGTTGAATGTGGACCTGATTTACACTGGAGATCATGGGGGTCCTGCTCTGCTACCAAACTCCCCTTGCAGGGACAGTATATCCTAGGCACTGAGGAATAAGATCTAATTTAGATGCTGTAAAGATATCTTTCTTATTGATACTTACATTTGTGGCAGCATTGATTGGGAAAACAGTAAAGCAAGGAAATGACACTTAAATGCAGCCTGTGTTTCATCAACAATTTGCATTCATCATAATGATTAACATTTTACATGAGAAGTATATACCTCAAAAGATTAGAATATAGGCAGAGTTAAAGCTAACTTTAAATGTAAGATAAAACATTTCAGAAAAACCAGAGGAAAGATTTGAAGGAGTTTTGACCATTTTGACAGAAATAACTTTTTTGAGGTTATGTTTAATCAAGTCAGTTGTCCACACAAAGCATTGCAATGCTGAAATATCACTCATCTCTTTTCCCTGTAAGTATCAATTCTCTTTGAAATCATGGATCATGGGAACACCACATCAGATTTCATTCTCCTAGGTCTTCTCACCAGAGTCTCTTTGGGGTTGTCCTAGCAGCTATGATCCCCTCCCTCCTTGGCAATGGCCTCATGGCTCTCCTGATTCACCAGGACCCCTGACTGCACACAACCACGTTTCTCCTGCTGAGCCAGCTCTCCCGCATGGACACTGTGCTCATCTCCACCATCGTGTCCAAGATGGCGGCTGCCTACTTGACAGGAAGGAAGTCTATCTCTGCAGTGGGCTGTGGGCTGCAGATATTCTTCTTCCAGACAACTGCTGGTGCAGAGTGCTTCCTCTTAGCTACCACGTCCTGTGACCGCTATGTGGCTGTGTGCTGCACACCTGCTGCAGACCCACAAAGGCAAACATTGGTTGATTCAGCCTTCACAAGAATCACAGCGGCAGTACAGCCATACCTCAGCTCAAGAACTAAATTCTCTCGAATGTTCTGGTTGGAAACCAAACTGACCGAGGATCAAATCTCATTTTCCCGTAAGGCTCACATTGAACCTAACCATTGGATTCGATTCCTTTCTCATCCATCCGCATCAGTCCCCAGAATCATGGAAAGAACCCAGTTCCTGAACCAAGGTGTCACTGTCCTCATAAGTCCTCAAGGACAGGATGAGCAGGACGAGAGCTGGGAGATTGAGCAGCTTCTCTTTCAGTTATTAGTGGTTATGAGAGATTTTGAAGAACATTTCCTGTGTTACCTGAGCTGGAAATGTAGTGTTGGTTCTTTGCTACACAGCATCTTGGTAAAGTGACAGGTGCCTTACAATCCATGTTAAACGTTCTTAGATAATAGCTATTACCATCATGAGAACAATTTCATACTGAACTGTACCTAAGGAGAATTAGATATTGATCCTCCAATGCCAGACCTGTTAAGATTCTCTTCCAAGGAGCTCATGTTAAAGATATTCTATTTCACTGTAGTGCAGTAAAATTGCTCCCCAGGAAAATCAAAACTGGGAAACCCACGGAGACACACCCTAGCATCACGGGAGAAGCAGAAATATTTACTTGCAGGGTCCCCTCAGACTGTGAGATTCAGGACCATGGAGAGTCTGAGCGGAACAGTGGGATCCCATGGGTTCCTCCTGTCCTGGCCCAGGCCCAGGTTGTAGCCTGAGTGGCCCCCGCAGTCCAGATCCCCCAGGACCTTTCTGGGAGCTCATGGGCTCCAAGCACCATGTCATGAGTGTGGGACTTGGGTTCCGGGTTCACTGTGGAGCCAGTTCTGAGGTACTTGCATGCTGTGAAGGTGCTACAAGGCTGGAAGGTCTCTGGTCTGGGAGCCTGGCCAAGCCAGGTGTCCTCAGCAGAGGCGAGGAGAGGGCTGGGGTCTGGGTGCATCCCTGTGCAGCTCCCGGGGAGTCCACACTCTGAAGAAGGGACTTACAGTAACAAAATTCGGGAGGAGCAAGTTCTACAACTAGACATTTTTTTTGACAAGACATCGTTAAAGGAAATTTTATTTGACTAACATGATTTTCAAAGTTAGACACATAAATAGGCAGATGGTAGATGGTTGATGGTTTTTCCTTAAAAGGGATAAATTGAAAGTACTCATTAATTACGTTAGAGCATATTTTAAATATGAAGGTGGTTTATAGCTAAACTATGAATAATCATAACATGGAAAAAGTGAGAGTTACTGCGAACATTTAAGGTGAGTTGATAGTGAGACTGATAAACCCACAGAAACAGCTGATGTTCTCTATAAATTACCTTTCTTGGTATATAAACATAGCAAGGCTGTGGAGTACATTCCATTATCCTGTCTTCTTGAAATTATGGCTGCTTTAAATAGAACTATTACTATAATATAAATTAAAAATTTACATGAACAGAAATGACTTAAATTGTGAGATTTCCCTGAGTATTAAACGTTCTAGATATTTACAGGAGAATCCATGTTTCACATTAAATGGTCTTCATGTAGTATGAGCAAGGGCATCAGGTCCAGACCTGTGCTCACCTCCTGGGCAGGAAAACAGTGGGGGCATTTTAAAAAAATTAATTTATTTGTACATTCTAGATATACAGTACAGTTACATTCATTTCTGGGATCTTGTACCATTACCTGCCAGGTCTTGGTTCTCATTTTTTCCCTTGTCCCCACCCTCCCTTCACCCCCTCCTCCCCTACCCCCCTTCAACCACTTTAATTCAATTTTTACATTTTCTCATATTTTTTTTCCTTTTCCCTTATTCCCCTTTCACTATCCTTCTCACTGTCCCTACACCTTTAGCAAATAGGAAGAAAAGGACCAAAGGTGGGGACAATTTGAACCTTCCTGAGTCTGACCCTGGTGAGGTGCATGAAGTTCCCCGGGAGTAGGAATATTTCCTGCAGGCCCCGGAGGTGCTGGAACAGATGTGGATCCCTTGACAGACCCCGTTGGCCGTGCTGATCGCTGTCTGCAGTGGAAAGGATCCCAATATGACCCCCCGTCCCATACCTAACTCCACACCTAATCTAACTTAGCGAATGGGTGCAGGAGTCTGTGTGGGAAAGGAGCAGTTCAGAGATGAAGTGGATGTGGAGGTTCAGGCACAGGCTCTACCTGTTCCTAGTGGGAAGAACTTTTGCCCTGACTGCTGAACATGGCCTGGTGTGCAGGGGATACAGGATGGGACAGGGACAGGGGGACACATGGATCCACCCAACCTGACCCAGGTCCACAGGATGAGGTCCTGTGCTTTGTTCCTCCTCTCTCAGAATACCTGGTCCAGGCTTGTTTCCACCTGAAGTGATGCACTTTGGGCCCCGTGGATTTCCTAGGTGTTTATAGCTTAAAATGGCAAAATAATGCCTCCTCACTGTGCTCTCCAAATCCCTTCAAATCCCCCCCCAAAAAAGAACAACAACAACAAAACAAACTGTTCTATGTCTTGTTTCTGTGCTGTTCTACATGGTTGAAAACAGAAACTGTTTATCCATCTGAAGAGACTATCATGATATATAATGTAACTATCCAAGGAATTACATGCTTTTCTCTTTTTTACTAAAATCTGATATAAAAGCCCTTGAAGGACAGAGGCCTCTCATGAAGGACTCAGTTCCAAGACACTGTGTAGCAGTGTCCTGAACAGGACATTTTTTAGAGTCACTTGGCTTCACTTTCATGACTGTTAGCTCACATACCTGCATTTGACTTCCTTGTCAGAGGTGCACGTGCAGACCCAGCATGGTCACATGTTCAGGGCCCAGGCACCTGCGCTGGGAGCCGGTGCCTTCCCTGTCTTGAGAAGGCCGATCTGGTCTGGGGTTGTAAGGTGTCTGCTTGTTGGGGATTAGGAACCTTCCCTCTGCAAAGCTCCAGGTCATTAGGACAATTTGCCTAGAAGGAAAACAGAGGAAGTGAGTTCTTTGCAAATCATGGTGGAGAATTGTCTTTTTTTTATTGTGCTTTTTTCCATGTTTATGTTCCCTTAAAAGACCATTTTTAACTTTCTTGTAAAATTTATAGTGAACAAAGCTTAAAAATTGCTTTGTAAATGCTAAAAGTTTTGAAAAATAATCTGTGCTCAAACAGGAAGTAAATGCATTACTGGGGGTCAGGAACATGCAGTAAAATGTGGGTCTAAAGTTGAGATTGGTCCACTCACTTATGTATGTGCAGATTTCATGTAGGTTTTTTTATTGATGACAATTGATTTTGTAAGTGAACAAAATGAGTTTGAACAAAGGCATAAGAGAAATATGTTGTTTTGATAAATCATCAGATTAATTATATTTTGTGAAAACATGTTTGACATCTTCAAGTAAATATGTAAACTAGAAAATGGAAGTCTTGGGCCATTTTTTTTTAGCTCAGTGGTGCAGCTGACTACCTCTCAAGCACAAGAATCCAAGTTCAATCTCTGGCATCCTCCATCCCAAAAAGAAAATGCAAGTCTTTTTTGCAAAATTTGTTCTTTATTAAAGAGCTATAATAATTGAATGTGTCAGCCTTAGTAAATTAATGAATTGAAATGGCTTCTTATTTATGTGCCACATCATTTCAGGAAATCTCAGGAAAAGCTAAACAAATACCAGATGGAAATCTACAATCAGACCACTACTGACTTTGTCCTCCTGGGCCTGTTCCCCCCATCCAGCCTTGGCCTGTTCCTCTTTGCTGTCACCATCCCCACCTTCCTGGTGGCCCTGACTGGCAACCTGTGCATGGTCCTGCTCATCCTCCTGGACGCCCAGCTCCACACACCCATGTACTTACTGCTCAGTCAGCTCTCCCTCATGGACCTCATTTACATCTGCACCACTGTGCCCAAGATGGCTTCGGGTTTCCTATTTGGAAACAAGTCCATCTCCTTCATTGGGTGTGGAGTTCAGTGCTTCTTCTTCGTGACTTTAGCAGGAGCAGAAGCGTTGATCTTGATGTCTATGTCCTATGACCGCTACGTGGCTATTTGCCTCCCTCTGCACTACCCCATCCGCATGAACAGAACAGTGTGTGTGCTGATGATCCTGGGATCCTGGGTCATGGGTGTTGTCAACTCCTGTGCTCACACAGTCTATGTTCTCCATATCCCTTACTGCAGGTCCAGGGCCATCGATCATTTCTACTGTGATATCCCAGCCATGCTGACTCTGGCCTGTGGGGACACCAGGGTCTATGAGTACACTGTGTTTTTCACCACGGTCAATTTTATCCTGTTCCCTTTTACTGTCATCCTGGGTTCCTACAGCAAAGTGCTCCTTGCTGTCTACCGCATGCACTCACGGGAAGGCAGGAAGAAGGCTTATTCCACCTGCAGTGCCCACCTCACCGTGGTGACTTTCTACTATGTACCCTTTGCTTACACATTTCTCTGCCCCAAATCGCTCCGGTCTCCAGCAGAGGACAAGGTGGTGGCTGTCTTGTACACCATCCTCACCCCAATGCTCAACCCTGTGATCTACAGCCTGAGGAACAAGGAGGTGCTGGAGGCTCTGGGAAGAGTGACTGGGAGGTTTGTTCTGCAGGAATGTAGGTAAATTTCTGACTCAGTAAATCCAGCTATTTATAGGCACTAGAAAAATGTTTAACATATTGGGCAAGAAATTTTTTGTCATTTTGGGGACAAAATTGTATTATTATACTGATGTTGAAATGGAAATATGGAAAACTTTGTAGTCCTTTTAAATGTATTATGCAATCAAAACATTTGTGGAATATTTTAATTTTCAAAGATCGCAGAAAAAACACATTGCTATGAATCACCATTAAAACACACTCTCCAAAGAACACACTTATTCCATTGTCATTGCTACATTTTTTTATGCTGAACTCTAAAAATTGCATGTAGACACTTTAGCAGAAGAAGCTCTGATCTTGATGTGTATGTCCTACGACTGCTATGTGGCTATTTGCCTCCCTCTGCACTACCCCATCTACATGAACAGAAGAGTGTGTGTGCTGATGATCCTGGGATTCTGGGCCATGGGTGCTGTGAACTCCTGTGCTTACACAGTCTATGTCCTCCACATCCCTTACTGCAGGTCCAGGGCCATCGATCATTTCTACTGTGATATCCCAGCCATGCTGACTCTGGCCTGCGGGGACAACAGCGTCTTTGAGTACATTGTGTTGTTCAGCAGCATCATCTTTCTTCTGTTTCCTTTGTTGGTCATCCTGGGTTCCTACGGGAAAGTGCTCCTTGCTGTCTACTGCATGCGCTCACGGGAAGGCAGGAAGAAGGCCTATTCCACCTGCAGCACCCACCTCACCGTGGTGACTTTGTACTATGTACCTTTTGTTTTCACTTATCTCTGCCCCAAATGCCTCCTTTCTCCAGCAGTGGACAAGTTGGTGGCTGTCTTCTACACCATCCTCACCCCAGTGCTCAACCCCGTGATCTACAGCCTGAGGAACAAGGAGGTGCTGGGGGCCCTGAGGAGAGTGGCTGGGAGGTTCCTTTCTACAACAATGTAGGTAAATTCCTGCCTCATTGTATTCAGCAGTGGATAGGGAGTAGAACAGTGCTTAGTGCTGAGGCCTCAGAAAGTAGAAATGAGGTTTAATATTTTTTAATTTTGAGATACGAAGTGATAAAAATTATTTGTTCTAGTGTATACAATTTCATTCCCTCTGTCTTGCCTTTCCAATAAAAATATGGAGCCTGTAGTCTTTGTCATCTGGAGACAATATTTTATTATATAGATATTGAAATGGGAAATGTGGAAAACTTTGCAGTTCTTTTGAATATGCTGTGTGATCAAAACCTTGTTTAATATTTTAATATTTAAAGATTACAGTAAGAATACATTGGTGTGAATTTACCTCAAAATACTCACACCCCTAGGAACACACTTATCCCACTGTCCTTGTTACTTTCCACTCTGACCTCTCAAAATGTATGTGACTGAATAAATCCTGTTACTGAATTTCTCATGTGTAGTAGGAATACAGGAAAGCTGTCTGATTTCACATCCTCACCTGCATGTGCTGATCACTCCTGCACATCTGGAACTCACACTGGCACAGGTGATGCCACAGAGACCCAAACTCTCTTTTCCTCACCATCACCTCTGACTCCCATCTCCTGCTGACCCTCAGGATCTCTGTTCTCAACACAACGCAATACTAGATATTGATTAGCATGAATTTTGCTTGACATTGGATAAAAATGAAATACAACATATGAAAAAAGAGCATATCATTTGTCAATTCTTGATTCTTCAATGAAATATAACACAGAGATGCCCATTCATGAATCACAGAAATGCTTGCATGTCCTATTCAGTCTGTCTAGATATGATTGACTTTATTTCACAGGCCCTCCACAGTGTTTCTGAAACGAGGCGTTATTCTTTCCACTCAGGGCTGCCTTAAGCTAATGGGCTCAGGCAATGCTGCTGCCTCAGCCTCCTGAGAGTCTAAACCATGGCCTGTGCCACTGCAGTACACAAACCATTGTCACCCAAGTCTTGCTGTTTCGGACACAGTTTGGGCTTCCTTAGAAATGAGTGAGTGTCACTGTTCAAGTGAAGAGCTGTGAGCTGTAGTGAGGAAATGCTAATGTCACTGCCCGCAACACAGCTGTTAAAAATGCAGTCTTAGGGCAGTGATGACAAATAATGGTTGCTGTTTGTTCCCAATGGAGGCACAATGGATCTCACACGGTTCATCGGTCCAGAGTCGCCAGTGTCTGTGCAGCCGCACACACATCCCAACAGGCACCTCTGCTCCTCCGCAGAGCACCCGCCCAGTGTTGGCCAGCGATTCTTGGCTGCCAGCGAACAGCCACTCGTGTGCTTTCCATCCACCTCCTTCGGCTGGGCTCTTCCAACTCTGTGTTAGTGGAGTCCAGTGACGGATGGCTCTGCGTGTAGCCTGCTCTTCTGTAAGCATTGTGGGGGTTACAATGCACGCCACACTCATCCGCTGCCCGCAGATGGTGCTCCTTTCTTGTTTTGTACTCTATCCTGCCTTAATATATTCCTGTTTATTGTCATCACGTTACTACTGCGAAAGTCACCTGTGCTGCATTTAATTTGGAACTGGGAGGATTAAAGCTGTTATAAAACTTCTTTGTGTGATCCTTTTATTTCTCTTGGTGGATATCTGATGAATTTTTCATAAAATATTTTTAGAGTGTTTATATTTGAACTTCAGCCAGGATTGCACATGCTGTGAATATTACCAAATTCTATTCATTACAGCCCAATTATTGAATCATCAAAATATAAATTGCAGAAAGCTACTGAACAGTATCAAAATAATTTTTTTTTTTTTTTTTTTTTTTTTTTTTTTTTTGGTACTGGCGATTAAATTCAGGACCTTGTGCTTGCAAAGCAGGTGGCAGCAACACTGAGCTACATCCCGGCCCTCATGTTGCTTTTTATTTGAATTTCCCTAAGGAGTAAATATTTTGAAGACTTATAACTCAACTGATTTCATATTTGCCTGAACATTTCCATGTTTGCAAAACGGATCTACAGGTATTGAAATGCAACTCATTCATGGACTCAACATTATGACTTGAATAAGACTATGAAAAATTTTAGAACTAAAATTATAGTTTGGCTTTTTAGGCATTATTATTTAGGACCTAACATAGAGCTGTTACTGTTCATTAACTGAAGTTTAGTTATTTTAATTAAGCAAAACATATAGTTTTCTCTGAAATTCTCTATTTCACTTGATTCCTCATCTTCACTGTGCATTGTAAGAAGACAGACCTACTGCCCTGGGGAATGATGACTCTCAACTTCTGAAGCCTTCTCTTCTAGGAGGCACTTTGACAAAACATAAAATTACAGAAAGGAAAGAAAAATAGGTTATCTACTGAAATTTTCTTATTTTTTGTTAGCAAATTACTATAGAAATACAACCAATTTCAAGCAATACACTTGACACTGTTAAAGTGATTGCTGATGTACAAAGAAGATACGTGGGATCACACATTCAGTTTTATTACTTTTCCTAGTATATGCATTTGCTTATCTTCTGAAGACAAAGCGAAGGGGTAAAAATCAGGCTAATGTTGGTGTAAATTAACATACTAAGAATGGATCGCTTCACTCATTCCCCGTTTTTCACAGCGTTGGCTGGGATTGTGCCCCCTGTCTTCCTATGTGGGGAGCAGGGGAGTCTGGAGGACACAGTCCAGAAGCACAGAGCAGGGACAGCGCTGTGGTCCTGCAGGATATTTGGAAACGCAGCTGGGGACACCGGAAGTCCGGCTGGAGGAGGAGGAGGTGGAGCTGAACATCTAGCTCCAGAGACTCCCAGCTGTAAATCCCGCCTGCCCAGTGAGCACAGCAGATGGGACAGAAAGATGTCTCAGAGAAGAGCTCGGTCTCTAGGGTGTTTTCAAGACGCATCGCCGGACTCTGGGATTGGTGAGATGAATTTAATTCCTAATGTGATCAATAACAAATTAAACAAGCCCAGCACTATCACATCATTAAGTTATCTGAAATAAAATAAAAATGTTAAGGTAAAGTATCTTCACTACATTTCACAGAAGTAGAGTGAGCTTCTTGGTTTCCCTTTGTTTTGTTCCTTAATTCATTACTCATCCTTGTGACCTGTGTTCAGGGTTAACTCTCACTTTAGGGCATGGAGAAAAGTGCGTCTAGAAATCATTCATTGTGCACCTCCCACCGACAGGCACCAGAGTCTGAGGTTAAAATGTGCTGCAGAGTCCTGGGGAGAGATAGTCGGCTTCCGGCCTCCCACGGGAGACCCAGCTGCAGCCTGTGGGGAGCGGATGTTGAAGAGCACAGTGGCCTGTGGGACCTGGGGTGGGCTGGCCACTGGCAGGGGAGCTCGCACTCGGGACCTCTGCCCAGGCTGAGCCCCAGCCTTGGTTAGCGGCCTCCTCTCCAGGAACACACATAGCTTACTGGGCTGAAGGTCAGGTGCTTCTGCAGGTAGGATGTCCGTGCTCCTTCCTGACACTTACAAGTGCTGAACGTGGTATAACTGGGACCACTTATCATAAACAAGGGAGCTCAATGCGTTTGCTACTGTTCCTTAAAGTTCCCGTGTATATGGTGATTATTTATTAGACTTTAGAGTCCGTCAGGGTGCATTTAGGCAAAATCATGGTGATAAAGCCAATGCCTCTCTTCCCTGTCCCTCTGGAGCAGGTGGACCATGGGGCAAGTGGACGGACCTTCACCCTCTGAGCACCCTGACCCTATTCTGTCTGGCAGCAGAGCAGTGCTGCCTAGTGGAGTCCTGGACCTTTCATGTAGTGAAAAATTGGCCATCAGATCCCTCAACATAAAAAGAGCTTTGGGCCCCGAGGGGCAGGGGTGAAATGTGCTGTGGGAGGAGGACACTGGGCAGAAGTGTGCAGGAAAGGGGTTTATTTACTTATTTATATCCCAGACAACAGATGACTCTTCTGGTTCTTAATCTCAGCCAAGGCTGAGCCAGGATCTCTTTCCTTCAGAGCCTGTGACATCCAGACTCCTGGTTGGCCCCAGGGACTCACGCTGAAGCCAATTTCCAGCTCCTTCTCAGGACAGCCTGAGTCCCTCCCTGAGTCCCTCTGCTCCTGCTGCCCTAGGCAGAGGTGGCAGTGCTGTCCCCAGAAGCCACAGCCCAGGAGACCTCAGCCAGGGGGTGCCGCCTTCCTCCCTCCCCTGCTGCTCCTACACCCCTGATCCCCTGTCCCCAGCCTTGGTCTAAGCACGTGTTCCTGAGGTTCCCCACTTCTGGGGACGCTCAGGCAGCAGCAGTGAAGGGGCTCAGGGTGCAGACATCTGAAGCTCCGGGGCCTGGTAGGACAATGTGGATGCAGACAGAGTCCATGCTGCATGGAGCTTGCTGGAGAGGTCACAGTGGGCAGTGGGGCCAGGGATACTGTGGGGGCTGAGTGCTGCGTTCCTGTATTCCAGGTTAGAGCAGCAGAGGTGGCAGAAATCCCAGGGAACCATGATGTCCCCTCTTGCTGAAGCCCTGCAGAAGGTACTTCCTGTCCACCCACTGAGTTACACTTGCATTACCTGGTTTAACTGGGTCCAGCCTGAGTCTCCTTTCCTAGTCCTCCTCTCTTGTTTCCTCCTTCCTCTTCTCCCTCCTCTATGTGTTACACAATGGTTTAATTCCATGTTCTGAGAACTCAGAGATAAGAGGCCAAGCAGGGCAGCTGCAGGACTGACAGCACCAGCAGGGCGCTGTGCAGCTCTGTTCGGGGCTCACGGTGCAGGGTGGGCTCTCCCCGGAACTCGATGCTGCCTCTGTCTCTTCCTGAGAGCAGCCCTCAGGCAGAGCCTACTGCCTCTTGGGTGCAAGGGAGGATTGTTTGTCACTGTTTAATAGAAATTCTTTTCAGGTGTAATTTGTAACTGATTGGTATTTTGTGCAAAGAGGAGAGAGAATATGTTTCCTGTATATATATATAAGATCTTAAAGTCTTTTATCAAAGCACTAACAAATAGATCCCCCTTTTGTCATTTTTAAACACAGGTTTGAGAGAATAGCACATTAATTCCTAGGCTGGACAACAACTATTCTACCTCTTAGGCAATATTCCCTATCAACTCTTCTAAAAACATGAAGATGTTTTTCCACACGTATTATGTCAATTCACTGCTGGATTTCTGCTTCTCTTATTAAATTGCCCTGCAGCTGACTGATTAGCAGAGTCAGGAAGCTTTTTAAAAATGTTACTCACCACCCCAGCAAGTCTGACACTTGACATTTTCACGACTGAACTAATAATGATTGTATCAAGTAATTCATGGATACTGAAAGATAATTAAAAGTTCAAAAACTACAGTATGATTATCATATAACTTATAGATAGTCAAGCAGTTGTACTATCACCAAAGTTTTCCTCATACAATATTTTCCAAACAAGTATTTTTCAAGAAGAGTCAATTTGATGCTTTCTTGTCCTTCACTTGTGTTACAGATACAATTGTCTTAAATAAATTTTACTATTGCTGTATATACTGTATGATTATATCAGAGCACATGAGTAAGCTTAATATGTCTTGTGGTGGTGTCCTCAGTAGAATGACCACCAGTTACAAAAGAAATTTACTGTGCTTTGCATGCTGTGTCCATAAAATGAGATCTCTTTACTATAAAATTTCTAATGGCTAAGTTAATAAATACGTGGACTATTTTAAGCACTCTCATGGCAACCAAATGATTGACAGAGTCAAGATGTGTGCAGGCCATGACTAAGGGGTGCACTAGGACATGAGGGAGTGGCTGTGTCCACAGCTAGGACTCGATTCCCAGTGGGCTGATGGTTAGTGGAGCCTTTACCCAGTCCTGGCCAGGGACAGTTTGCTTCCCTGAGAGGAACAGAGAGGTTATGTCCTGGGTCATTTCTTCCATGCATTTCAAACAGTGAGGCTGGCTGAACAAAACAGCTGATGAAATGGGCTGAGTAATGAAGAAGCCTAAGTCACACCTGCTCCCTCTGTCCTCCCTCTGTCTCTCGCTGTCTCTGTCCCTGTCTCTCACACCCACACAAACACAAACACTCACACAAATATTGAAACCACACAGTCATTTAAATTCTATGTGATATGTTTAGAAAAAATAATAATGATCCACTTAGTTTCATTCTATTAAACTTTTATAAAACTTCCAGTATCAGACTTACTGCACTGTGACTAACTGTTTTAAGAACACATTAGTGGTAATTCTTTCAAGTAGATTGCAATTTAATGAGAGAGCGGAAGTCAAACACTGAGTAGAGATAATATATATGCTATAAAGTCAGCACTTCATTTGAAGCCCTTTGCATGGATGTGATATAATACGTGGAACAGTGAATGTCTGGCCTAGGATCAGTGTACAGTTGGCTCAAATTATATTTAAATAGAGTACATTTTTATTCTATATTGTTGTTTTTTCTCTATAACCAGAGCCCTGTTTCCTTAAAATACATTGGTGTTTTAAGTTCAAAAAATTTACATGGAGAATAATACACACCAATAAAATTTTAAACTAAACTGAGGGTTTCTTCCAAGTGATCAATTTTTTTTTCAGAAACTAATTTATTTTACTTTATTTTTGTCATTGAGTTTGTTGGTACTTTTTAGGTATACAGTACAGTTACATTCCTTACTGGGATCTTGTACCTTTACATGACAGGTCTTGGTTCTCATTTTTTTTAACCCTTGTCCCTGCTCTCCCTTCACCTCCTCCTCCCTTCCCTATTTACAAAAACTTTATTTCCATTTTTTCATTTTCTCATATTTTTCTTTTCCCTTATTTCCTTTCCCCTACCCTTATCACTTCCCCTACACCTTTGACCCTTTTCTTGGCACTAGGGATCAAACTCAGTATCTTGCACTTGCTAGGGAGGCACGGTGCCTCGGAGCTACATCCTTAGCCCGGATATAATTTTAAGTGTTAACTTTTTAAATAATGTTTTGAATGCTTCCCTTTAAGAAATTTGTATATCTCATTTTCAGAGTCTCTCCATATCTCCATGTCTTTACTTTTTGAGTAAAATATTAGAGTACCATAAATTAAACATTAATATGTGAATTGTTGATGCATGTAGGTATATATTTGTTTTAAGGCATAGATCATAGACACAGAACACGTGAAAAATTAAGTGCAAATTGTAAGAAATACTATTCAGATATAAATAATATCAATGCCTATAACTCCCCACAAAAAGATCTGTCACATTATAGTTTAATTGTGTAAGAAAACAGAAAATATCAAAATATATTCTTCAAGATGTATTGTTTATTTTGATTAAATGTAGGTGATTTATTACATGTAAAACATGAATATTTGAAAATATAAACATATTTTACTATAACATTTTATTACTTATCACATTTCAGAACCTAGAAGTCCCACATTTCAGTGCCTTTAAGTACAGGTTTGAACATTATTCAGAAAAAATTCATGTTCTTGACCCTGATATTTGCTTAGTGCTTTGTCACAGTGGAAGCAGAGCTGGGAGGCAGGGACAGCACAGGCTAAGAGGAAACTCTCCCTGGTAGGAAGAACATATTGTTGATGGATTCACAAAACGTCCCCGAGTGACACTGAGGACCCAGGCTGGTGTTGGCTCCGGGCGTTTGGCTTCCACCAGGGAATGGGGCAAAGATCTCCTACCATGTGGGTGGGAGAATGACAGTGAAGGGAGGCCCCCTCGTGTTTATCACGTAACAGGACGGACGGTGGGATGCGGCAGGCAAAAGGTGAAGTGGAGAAGGGGTGGGGGGCCAGGAAGCGGAGGGTTGCAGGCGTCCACAGGCGTGCAGGGAGGGCTCACTAAGCCACACCTGAGGGACAACTGGAGCGAAGTTCCCAGGATTCACAGCGACCTGGAGAGTCAATGTAGATCCCAGGGCAGATTCAACCCGCTCACTCCCCCAGGTGACTGAGGCTCATGAACAACCCATCCTGCGAATCAAAGGACGCATGATGTTAGCTGAGAGACACTTGGTCACAATGACAAAGTGTGTGTCACTGGCTCATATTTCATTTTATAGATTTATGTTTAAAAAGTGGACATTTATGTGCTTTTTCTTCTTTTCTATGCATGTTTCAATTTATACTTTCTTTTTGTGCAAATCACAGAAATGCAACATGAGCCCTGAGAATCAGAGTTCTAGCAGGGATTTCATCCTTCTGGGACTGTTCTCTTCCTCCCGCACCAGCCTGGTCTTCTTCTCCTCTCTGTGCATCCTTTTCATCCTGACTGTCACAGAAAATGCCCTCCTGATCCTCCTCATCCGCAGGGACTCCCGCCTCCACTCCCCAATGTACTTCCTGCTCAGCCACCTCTCCTTCATGGACATCTTGCACATTTCCAACATCGTCCCCAAAATGATCGCCAACTTCCTGTCTGGCAGCAGA